TGACCCCATTTGGGGTTTTCTTGGCAGAGATACTGGAGTGGTTTGCCATTTCCTTCTCCAGCTCATTTTACACATGAGAAAACTGAGGCAAACAGGGTTATGTGAAGCGTCCATGGTCATAGGGCTAGTAAGTGTCTGAGGCCAGATTTGAAATCAGAAAATGAGTCTTCTTTTTCCAGGCCAGACACTATCCACTGTGCCACCGAGCTGTGCCATTGTGGGGCACTAGTGACTGGAAAAGGCTTTTTGCAGAAGGCATTCACTTGAGCTGTGCTTTCATGGGAACTAGAAATTCTAAGGCATAGAGGTAAAAATAGAAGTGGAATTTTATGTATGAGGAGCAAGCAGGAAAGTTTGGTGGGAGCATAGAGAGAGCAAATCTTCATAAAGTATAACAAACCTGGGATGGGAGTGGAAGGAGTTTACACACAAGGAGCTCCTTTCACTGCAGAAATCACAGGTCCAACCTCCTCCCACCCTCAACCAACACCCTCCCCAGCACTATGTATATTCGAGCTATTATGATTAACTAAAAGGCAAGATGGAATGTCCAAAAAAATGTCCTCTACTGACTGCAGCAGTGTATTTTTAATGAAGACAACAATGAAATCAATCTGCCTAATCTCATTGAGATGGGAACGGTAGATAACTAGAAGGCAGAGAAGTGGAATCTGGCTTTAAATGGTATTTAAGTTTTCTATTAGCACCCCTGCTCTGACATATGGCGACCCCATGGCTATAGGCAGAAGATGGCTTTTAAGAAATAGCATTAAAAACTTCGAGGATTCATTATGCAAATGTTTTCGTGCTTTCAACCAAAACAAGATTTGAAATTGTGCCCTTCAAAAGAAAGATCACTGATTTGGGGAGATGTTAGTGTTGCTTGACCTCCAACGGGCATCCTCAATGTGGTTAAATAAAGTTTTTAAGTCCACTACACTCTATAGATCTCACCATCTTTGACTCTCCTACCTGTCCAAGCCCACTGGCTTCCTATTGCCTCTAGGAGATAAAAGAAATTTTTCTGTTTATATTTTAAAACCCTGCACTGCCTGCCCCCGACCTAGCTTTCCAAGGGAGATGTTGCTCCCCTTCTCCCATTCTTCCATCTAGCCAGATTGGCCTTCTCTCTGTTCCTTCCCCATGGTACTCCATCTTGCCTTCTCCCATGCCTGGAATGTACTCCCCTTATCTCTGCATGAGGGCCCTCCTTTAAAAATGCATCTCAAGCTCCATATTCTCTGCTTCTAGTCTTTTCCGTTTCCCCCAAACTACCTTGTATTTAACTACAGTACTCTATATAGGTTGGTATTTTAAAACTTTGTTTATGCTATGTACGCACGTGTGTGTGTGTGTGTGTGTGTGTGTGTGTGTGTGTGTGTGTGTGTACATATACACTAAACACTCAGGAAGATCAGTCTTCCTGACTCCAGGCATTGCGCCACCTAGCTGCCCCATACATGTGTACATGTATATGTGTGTATGTATGTGTATATATTATGTATGTACGTGTGTATATTTGTATAAGGCAGCTAGGTGGTACAATAGATAAAGTTCCAAGCCTGGAGTCAGGAAGACTCATCTTCCTGAGTTAAAATCTGGCCTCAGACACTTACTAGCCCTGTGACCATGGACGCTTCACATAACTCTGTTTACCTCAATTTCCTCATCTATAAAATGAGCCAGAGAAGGAAATGGCAAACTACTCCAGTATCTTTGCCAAGAAATCTCAAAATGGGGTCATAATGAGTTGGACACAAGTGAAAAAATGACTAACTACACCCACCCCCCCACACACCCATATATACACTTGTTTTTAAATAAGTGATGATTGTTTCTTCCATTAGAATCAAGTTCCATCGGAGTAGGGATTATTTATCTTTGCCTTTGTGTTCATTGCCAGTGCCTGGGATATAGTAGGCATGAAGAATAATTGACTGTTTTTCACTTAGAGCTAGCCTGGAATCCAGGCTGACCCTTCTGACTCAGCCTCGTCTTACTAGATGTGTGACTGTGGATGGCTTTAGAGCTGGAAGAGATCTCAAAAGGCATTCTAGTTTAATACGATTTTATAGCTGAGGAAACTGAAACCCACACCAGGATCACAATGGCGGTAAGTGGCAAAGCCTGCATTTGAACCCAGGACTATCTGACACCAAATTCATTGCTCTTTTTGCTGACCTGCTTCAGCACTTATTCACTGTTTAAGTGGATGGACAGTCGGTAGTAGAGTCCAGACAAGAAGCCATGTCTCCTAATAAGCTGTGTGATGTGACTCTGGACCTCAGTTTCCTTCACTGTGAAATGGGTGGGACTAAATTATATCTTGGGTGTTTTTCAGTTCTGATACGCTTTGAATTGAATTACCTTGAACAATTGTAAGCAATGTCTACATTTGTAAGCGGGAGGAAATCCTGCCAATGGCCACAAGGTGGACACCTTGCTTACGGTTTGCCTAAGTTAAAAGAGACCCATCACAATTTAGCCTAACAAAAAGTTAAATTAAAACGCCAAAAGGAATTCCCAGAGAAGAGCCAACCTTGACTTCTCAGTGGACAAAATATCTATATCTGGAAATCTAACAAATGCTGTCCAAAATTAAGTTTCACTGTAGGTCTGATGGAGTGGATCACATTGATATGTGACTGGCGTGTGACTCTCCAGGTAAGGTGAAGCTGGCATCGACTGAAGCACCAGAGATTGACCAAGCCTCAACCAGTCCTCAGCAGGACCAAGAGGCTACCAATGGGGGTTATTTTGAAGTGCTTCTTCAAAGGCATAACCCCTAGGAGAATTCTCTGTAGCTGGGTTTAAAACTAGCAAATCATTCTCCAGAGGAAACACACATATACATATATTCATACAAAGAGCACATATATATATAATATGTGTGTCTACCTCAACACGTTGAAAAGTTGCCCATGGATCTTATGGAGGGGGGAAAAACCAACCCAGGGTAGGAAAAAAGGTGGCAAATTCAAGTCTGGTTGATTGGGCTCTCTAGTGACCCACTGGGATGCAGGGAAGGAAAAAGAGGAGAGAGAGACAGAGAGAGAGAGAGTCTAGTTCTTTATTCATAAAGAAATGACAGAAGCATCTAGATTTGCAGGGAGATGGGCAGGGGATTTTGTTATTATTCTAGCTTTATCCTTTTCAAAATAAAAGAAAATCTAATAAGGAGATGAAAAAAAAAACAACAATGTCTTGCTTAGACACTTTCTAAGGGTAGTGCAGTGAAGGAGCGTTGGATTTGAAGGCAAAAGACCTAGCCAGGTTGAATCCTGACTCTTAACTACTTCCTTGAGTGACCTCGGAGGAGCTACTTAACTTTTATTAGCTATCTTCCGACTCCATCTAGGATCCTAAATTTCCTCAGTTTCCTCACCTGTAAAACGGAAGAGTGTGGATTAGATGATCCCCGAGATCCCTTCCTCCTCTAAACGGAGGATCCTCGACTCCAAGTTGGCCACCTTGGATTTCGTGGGTGCCTCCCTACAATTCTTTTGTATTTATTCATTTACAAAAATAACAGCTCACATTTATATAAAGGGTCTGTAAGGCCTTCATACGGACTCTCTCATTTGAAACTCATAACAATCCTATAAGGTAGATGCTATTATAACCTCCGTTTTATATAGATGAGGAAACTGAGGTTCAGAGCGGTTCCATAGTTGGCCAGGGTCACCCATCTAAGTGTCTGAGGATGAATGTGAAACCAGTCTTCCTTACTCCAAAGTCCAGCCCTCTGGTAGGTGCACTTCTTCGATTGAATGTAAACTCCTTGAGGGCTGTTTGTATTACGTCTTTATACTCTACGAGTTGTGGGCACGGTGTCATGACCACAAAGGACGATTATTAAATGTTTGTGGAATTGAACCGAATTACAAATAGGGTTTCAAGAAATAGAAAATAAGAAGGCGCTGTGTGTGCGTGTGTGTGTGTGTGTGTGTGTGTGTGTGTGTGTGTGTGTGTGTGTGTGTGTCTGCAGACTCTCCACAGAACTGGAGAGAAGCCCCGGCTGCCGGATGGCAGAGGGAGCTTTCCCGACGTCCAGACAAGCGGGAGCTCGCCCTTTGCTCACTCGCACAAAGTTCTTTGCTATACAGCAGGCTCCGCCACTGGACGCTCCTCATCCTCACTGGTTCTGGGAGGATTCCCAGGGAGTTATATAAGGAAGGAAGAGTGAATCAGACTCATCAGAAACGGTAGAAAAATGGAAGCGGACGGGAGAAGAGGGGCCGGGCGCGCAGCTTAAGCCTGCTTTTCGGGGTGTGAGGGGGGCATCCGCAGCACCAATGTGCTCCCCAGGACGGGAGGACAAAGCCATCTGTCACCCGGGAGAGAGAGAGCCTGAGAGAGAGGGGTCAGTCGGCCCCCTTCCTTCGGCCTCTGGCTACTCTCTCCAGCCCCGCGCTGCCCGGGGGCGCCCAGAGCCTCCGCACTGGGAGTGCCCGTGTCCGCCGCCCCAGTCCCCGGGCTGGGCGGGGGACCCGCTGATCTCAGACGAGAGGAGAAAGACATCGCCGCTTTAAGGAAAAGGGGAGAAGGGAGGAGGGCGGTGAGGGGCGGGTGAAACTGGAGGAGGTGGAGGAGGAGAAGGAGGAGAAGGAGGGGGGATATCCTCGCTCTCCCACGTGGTCCCGGTGCCTGTGAATCGCGCCTGCCGGAGGGTCTCACAGCGAAATACAAAAGCGGCTGCGAAGCGGCTGGGAGGAGAGTTCCCAGCGCCCGGCCCAGCCGGAGCAGGAGCCGAAGCCGGAGCCGGAGCGGGGCCAGGCACAGCAGCGACAGCACCAGTAGCAGCCTCAGCCTCTGCCTCAGCCTCAGCCTCATCAGCCTCAGCCTCGGCAGCAGCGGCGGCGCCGGAGCCCCGCAGCCACCATGGGGCACAGGCGCCACGGGCCCCGCAGCTACGCGGCTGCTGGGGACGCATCGCCGCCGGGGCCCCGGCACCGGGGCTCGGCTTGAAGCAGCGTCACCAGCCCGCCCCCGGAGCCCCTATGGGCTGGAGGATGCGAGGGCCCGGCCGCGCCGCCGCCACAATCGGGCTCTGGCTCTTGGCACTCGGTACGCTCCTGGCGCTGTGGACCGGGCTCGTGCAGCGGGCGGAGCAGCGCCCCTTCCCCGGGCCGGGGCTTCTGCGCCCTGGGCGGAGCAGCGAAGATCGAGCGGCGTCGCCGGCTCTGCTCCTCCCCCGTCTACGGCTGGGGGACGCCGGCGGCGGCCCCGCAAAAACTTTCAGGGCGCTGCTCACCGTGCCGGCCGCCGGGGAGAGCCCGCCCCAGCACCTCCGGGAACCGGTGGAGCGCAGGCAGCCGGGGCACGTGGAAGAGCCCCGGCGGGGCGGCCCAGCGGCCGTACAGGGGGGAATCTTCTGGAGCCGGGGCCTAGAGGAGCAGGTGCCCCGCGGCTTCTCAGAGGGGCAGGCGGCATCCTGGCTGGAGGCGGCGCGAGGTGCCCGGGTAGTGGCCCTGGAGCGCGGGGGCTGCGGACGCAGCTCCAACCGGCTGGCCCGCTTCGCCGACGGCACCCGCGCCTGCGTGCGCTACGGCATCAACCCAGAGCAGATCCAGGGCGAGGCCCTGTCCTACTACCTAGCCCGGCTGCTGGGCCTCCAGCGCCACGTGCCCCCGCTGGCGCTGGCACGGGTGGAGCCGCGGGGCGCGCAGTGGGCGCAGGTGCAGGACGAGCTGCGCAGCGCGCACTGGGCCGAGGGCAGCGTGGTGAGCCTGACCCGCTGGCTGCCCAACCTCACCGACGTGGTGGCCCCAGCGCCCTGGCGCTCGGAGGACGGGCGCCTGCGGCCCCTGCGCGGCGGCGGGGGCGAACTGGCCAACCGCAGCGAGCCCGAGCTGGTGGAGCTGGTGCAGTGGACCGACCTGATCCTCTTCGACTACCTGACGGCCAACTTCGACCGCCTGGTCAGCAACCTCTTCAGCCTCCAGTGGGACCCGAGGGTCATGCAGCGCGCCACCAGCAACCTGCACCGCGGCCCCGGAGGAGGGTTAGTCTTCATAGACAACGAGGCGGGCCTGGTGCACGGCTACCGGGTGGCGGGCATGTGGGACAAGTACAACGAGCCGCTGCTCAAGTCGGTGTGCGTCTTCCGCCAGCGCACCGCCCAGCTGGTCCTGGAGCTGCACCGGGGCCAGGACGCCGCCGCGCGGCTCCTGCGCCTGTATCGGCGGCACGAGCCGCGCTTCCCGGAGCTGGGCGCCCTGGCCGAGCCCCACGCGCAGCTGCTGCAGCGCCGCCTCGACTTCCTTTCCAAACACATTTTGCACTGCAAGGCCAAGTACGGCGGACTGTGACTTGGGACCGGAGCTGTGGGGGGGGGGGGTGGGCGGGGGGAGGAGGGGATGGAAAGACGTAGGACAGCTGCACTTTGGAGGGCGGGTTGGACGGTCAGCTCTTCCCTCATCTGTCCGGGAGTCGTTGAGCCAACGCCCACTGAGTGACCCGAGCCAGAAGGCTTTCAAAGATCTCTCCCATTCAAACTTCCCCTCTCTCTCTCTCTCTCTCTCTCTCTCTCTCCCCCTCTCCTCTCCCCCTCTCTCCCTGCCTTCTCCTCCTCTCCTTCCCTTCCACACTATCTCCTTTAAAAGTTCTGTAGGAGTGGACTGTGGCTAAAAGCCTTCTTTTCACCTTCTCCCTTCTCCATTCAGGACCTTTCGATGTGCCTGGATGTTGTTTCCCATCTGCGGATGGGGATTAGCCACTGAGTCTGGGGGTCGCGATTGTCCTCCCCTTAACTTGGGAGGATGAAGTCCCGAAGGGCTCCATTTGGGTGAAGGGGATTTGTATTTGTTTTGTTTTTCTTCTGCCCCTCCCCACCCTTTACCAATAAAGTAGGGGGACGGAGGGTGGGTTGCATCCCAAATCGAATTCCGTCATTCACCTACCACGAAGCAGGCGCTTTCTACTGGTCTCTGGAGTAACAGACATGCCATTACAAGATGCAGTTCTGTTCATGTGTGCATTCTTTGTTCTAAGGATGTAACCGCTGTTAATGGCAAGGCTAAGCGGATATGGAGACCAGAGATGCCAGTAACTCAGAACAGCCCTCGAAAGCCTCCCGAACAGATTCCACTCCTTCCACTCATTTGTTAAACTGTCATTTGGCCCGAAAACGATGATATGGAATGGACTGGATAAACCCAATCAAAGATAATGGATTATCCTCCCTCTTGACCCCCACCCCTCTTACCCCCAACAAACCTGCCCCGACGTTGACAGTGATCAGTCTCAAAGAAAAGAAAAAGGGGGAGGGAGGAGAAAATCCAGTTTCATGCACTTTACTTTGCTTTTTTTTTAATTTTTTATTAAAAATAATTTTTTAATTTGTCAGAATCTGCCTTCTCTGTATATATGTGCATAAACTGTTGTGTAAATATACTAAACAAACTTATATTTCAATAAAAGGGGATTTAAAGTTTAGAATTTGGACAACTTTAAGTATTTGAGGCACCTGATCCCTCCCCCCCCCAGGCCTGAGCTGAGTGGTTAGCTGGGCTGGACTGAATTCCTTCTGATAAACATCTAGTTCTGCAGAAATCTGTCACAGTGACCTCAAATGCTTGCAAAAAAAAGAGGAGATTTTAGCAATGTAGGTCATTTTAGGGAGAATTAACAGAGAATTTGCCTTTTCTTTGTTCAGCTCTTACCCATTCTTCATTCAGGTCTGAGAAACAAATTCTCTGAGTTGAGCCTGGGGGGCAAAGGGGAGAAGAAAAAAAGCCTTCTATTTCCTAAGAAAACTTCAATAAAAAGGATTTGAGCGGAATATATTCCTCTATTAATCATGTGACAAATGTGACTGAACCAGACATTCAGGTTTAAAATATGATAAATTATCTTAAAAAAAAAAAAACAACAAAACACTAATGGTCATGTGTTCAAATATTGCATTCAGTTTTGCTATTCTCTCCCCACTGATACTGTAAATGTGAGGAGGGAAGAAAGTAATAGGAACTATAAATTAATCCTCTTTAATCTGTTGGTATGAATTCTGATTCATCAAGTCAGATCACAATTTCCCCATCATCTGGCCAAATCCACTTCTGTTGATGGGACATTGAGTGCTGTTATTAAATGTAGTAATCTTATCTTCTCAGAAAAGCAGTGCTGGCTTTTGAGCTTGAGAAGCTAGAAATCAGCAACAGAAAGCAATATAGCAATATTTTCCTCAGATCTTCAAGCTTGCAAAGCCATTTTTAGGGTTTGGGATTCAGCTTTTTTTTAATCAAATACAGGAAGTTACAATCATTTTATTCATTATATTTTTGGCTGGAGAGGCACCTAGGAGTACTGATAGAGGTCTTTCATCTAAGACCTCTGACTCAAACTGGCTGGGTGACCCTGGACAAGTCACTTAACCCCTCAATGTCTAGACTACTCTCTGAGACTTCAAGAAGCAGAGAGGGTACCCAACTGCCTACCCCTCTCTCAGTGGGGATTTCCCTGTATCAGTGAAACTGTAGCTCTAGTCTATCTCCAATTCTGAGTATGCAGGCAGATATACTTATGCCAACTTACTTTTTATAGAAGGACCTTTTGCTCAGAGATAATTTTCAGTAGATGAATTGTTAAAAGTCATATTTGGCTCGTATTTCGAACCCAAAGGCTTTATCAGAGCCTTGGTGGGATTGAATCCCTCGTGGTTATCTCACCCTGGGACTCATGTACAGGTGGTATCCTGGGCTGCACTGTTTTTTTGTGGCACTTCTTAAACTGTAGGTTGTGATCTCCATGGGGGGTGGGGAGCTAAGACCCACAGTTTAAGAAGTGCTAAAGGAGTTTTGAGTAGGAAACGATGATTAGTGGAACTGAGGATATTTAACTAGGAAAAGAGGAGATTCAGGGTGGACAAGTATCACATGGCTCGTTGGGGTAAGACCAGTTCATTTTGGGCTTTCCTATCCCTATTGCCCAAGACAGAGTCAAGTTGATATCCACTGACTACTAGAAAATTAAGAGTCATGTTCCATTAACAATGAGCACTTAATAAATGTTTATTGATTGACTGATTTATTAATGTTACTTGACTGTGAAGTGTATCTGAAGGACTAGTGGGTGAAAGTTACAGGGAAGGAGATTTGGAGGATGCAATTCAGATTTGGCCAGCAATGGTGCCTGAATCAGGGTCAAATCCCAGCTCTGCCACTGAACATATGAGTGACCTCAGACAAGTCACTTTCTCTAGGTTTCTGTTTTTCTCTGTAAAATGTGGAGGATGGATTAGTTCATTTCTAAGCCATTCTCTCCAGATCTAAGATAGGTGACTAAGTGGTACAGGGGAGAGAACACTGGACCTAGAATCAGGGAGACCTGAGTTCGAATTTGACTCTAGATCCTAGGCCAGTCACTTAACCTCTGCTTTAGCTTCCTCATCTGTAAAATGGTGTTGATAATAGTTCTTACCTCCCAAGGTTGTTGCGAGGATAAAATGAGATATTTGTAAAGCTTAAAGCACTACATAAATGGTAGTTATTGGCCTGTGAACTATTTCTGATGTTACCTAATGAAATGCAGCTAAACCATCAAGCCCACTGGCACAAGTGTTAAATCCACTCATGTTGAAAGAGTGAGTCACCACAAATAACTGGGGTTTTCCTCTTCAGTAAATACCTCCACGGCAGCCCAACCACAGCAGCCTCTGCAAACGGCCAATATGTCTTCTTCAAGATCTATTTAGAGTTAAACCTCAGATACTATATATGTGTGTGTGTGTGTGTGTGTATCTATATATATATATGTATGTGTGTATTAATTTACCCACCACCAGAAATTTTTAAAAACTTCTCCCTAGACCTCATCTTCAGAGAGGCAGTACCAGGGAAAGATGTCTTCTCTAAGAGGATAAAGTCCACCCAACTCTACTAGATTTACTTGTATAATGAGTGTTGTATGTTGTACTGGATGCCTTTTGCAAGACAAACACTGTAAAATCTCCATGTGGATTCTTCTCCCTCTACCTAGGAAACCCTCAATCCAGGACAGAGTGGAGCCTGGTGAATTCTTGGCCGGCAACATTCTTGGCATTCCTTCCAAACTTCCGACCCAAGCTCAGACTTGAGTCTCTCAAAAGATTCTGTTCAGTTTTTAGCACTGGGATCTCTTGCTTCAACTTTTTAAATTCAATGAACATGTTGAGCTACAGTTACTATGTGTCCTTACACATAGATCCTGGGAATACAAAGGAAACAACCAAGCCAATCATTGCCTTCGATCCATCCATCAAAGACCATTTATTAATTGCCTACTCTGGACATAGTACTGGGTGGGGAGGGAATACAGCATGTACAACAGAACTAGAAAGGACCTTAGAAATCATTTAGTCCAACCCCTTTATTTTGCAGATTGAAGAAACAGACTTAGAGAGGAAAGTGACTTGCCCAAGGTCTCAAAAGGTAACGTAGCTAAAGTGAGATACCAAACCAAGTCTTCTAACTACAAATCCAGTACTCATTCCGCTGAACCACACTGTGGTTAAGCTAAATTTGGACCCACTGACCTGAAGAAGATAAATAGGCATGGTTAATCAATTAATTGATCAGAAACTCCTGAGTCATGTCCCACTGATTATTCAGGGGGATAATCAGGCTGATTCTTCTCATAGTTAAAAACCTTTTCCACATAGAAAACATGTTATTCAATATTTGGCAGTCAAATCCTGGCTCTGCCACTTCTCATGTGACCTTGGGTGAGTTACTTTATCCCTCTGAGCCTCAGTTTCCTCATCTTTAAATGGAAGAGATCCCTTCCTGTTCTAAAGCCCTGATTCTACAATCCTCCAAAGCAGAATTCCCCAAGTAGATGCTCTACCTCTTGACCTTGTTAGAATGAGTTAATCAAGAGGTAAATCTGACCTTCACAGTTCGCAGGTGAAACTAAATGCTGTGAAATAATAATAACCAAGCCTGGCTGAGAGATCTGAAAATGCACCGTCTCCCACTAGCAGAAATGGGAGGCTTTGGGTTTGGAACGCTACAAGTTAGGTCTGACTTGGTTGATACCTAAATTACTTTTGCTAAATTACCTTCCCCATATTTTTTATTCTTTATCAGAGGAGATGGCTCTTTGGAGGAAAAAAAAAAGAGTCTGTTAGGAAATGTAGGTGATGTAAAAACAACATACCCAATAAAAAGGGGGGAAAAATCCCCAAGTTAAAGGGGAAAATAATATACTTTAAAGAGAACTCTAATATGGAGTAAAAAAAAAAATCTAGATTTGAACACCCAGTCCGTTAAGTGATGCTTAAAAAGTTGGAGAGACATAGTTTCTGGGAAATTAATCATTTTATTAATAATGCTAACATATTATTAATAAAAGGATGGTCATTGACTCTTTTGAATGCCAAAGACAATCACGGTGGTGGGCTCACAGTTTATATACCCTTGGAAGAGTGGGTGTTCCTGAGGGTGGCAATCAACTCTGATTGGTTAACAATTAATGAGATAATGAATATTACAATGATAGATGAGCTCATTCTAATGAGGGTCTTGGGGGCAGGTGACTTAGATCACCCAAGTCTTGGTCAAAGAGACTTATCAATATACATACCAAAGAGGCAATCCACTTCTTCCCCAGACCTATCCAACCAAGTACAATGAACAGGAATTCAATTCTCTCAGCCTGGTTGGGTTTTTCCCAAGATTTCCTACAGTGGCTAATTTCTGGATAAGGAAGTGGAAAAGCCTTTAATCCTAATTCAATAATTGGTTATTAATATAAGAAAGATATAATCATTTCTCTCACTACCCTGTGGACTTGAGTGGGTCAAATTCTCTTTGTATCCACTTCCTTAGAAACTTCTCTGGGCTGAGGTTTCCTCTCTGGAAAAGGAGGAAGTTGGAGGGGCTCCAACCCAGGTGGCTTCTAGGGTTTCTCCCAGCCCTATGTCTATGACTCTATCATCACTAAGTAAACCCAAAGGCATTTATTAAGTACTATGTGTGAAACACTGTGTTAAGCAATGAAGGTACAAAGGCAAAAGTGAAATAAATAGTCCCTTCCCTCAAGTTGCTTATGTGAGGGGTTGTAAAATGAGGGGGTTGGATAAGACAATCTCTAAAGTCCCTTCCAGATTGAAATTCTATGACTTTATGATCAGAGCTGAATCAGTTAGCTTTGCTCTGTTTCATCTTCCTGGCCCGAGGTAGCTATCTCTGTCTCATAAATGTATACGGCCATAAGGTGTAAGGGACCACAGGCCCAGTATGACCTCTGGAAAATTACTAGCGTTACAGCTATCAAGGCCTCCTTGTGATAAGAACAAATTACGGACAAAGCTGTACCTCTTCCTGGAATACCCCTATACCTTTGGTGGTCCTTGTGATAAGAACAAATTATGGACAAAGCTGTACCTCTTCCTGGAATACCCCACCCCTATACCGGTGGTGGAACTCCCCCACTCCCTCTTACTGTGTGTATAACTA